AAAAAAAAAAAAAGAATGGCTCTATTCACAAAGCCAGTTTTGAGCACAAATATGAAAGAAAAGAAAATGGCAAGTATAAACCCATTTTTGCAAGTAAGTACCCAGCATGTGTAAGGTGACAAGGTTTGGTATGGCTTGACTGGGACTCGCAACAGAGGAGTAGAAAATGAGGCTGGAAAGAGAGTGAGGCTATCAGAGGGCTTTGTAGGCCTCTGTAAGGACTCCGGTTTTTAATGAAGGAAATGAAAAGCCACTGGGAAGTTTTAAGCAGGAAGAGTGCAAGGATCTGACCTCCAATATGTAAGAGGAACATTCAGGTTGCTCAGGTAAGATCAGAGTATCAGAATGAAGATGGTAAGTTTGAAAGCAATGAGACTCATCAGAAGATTAGTTATCATAACACCAGTGAAAAATAAGAGTAGCCAGAATTAACATCAGTAAAAGTAACAAGAAGCTATCACACTGAATATGGTTTGAAGGCAGGGTTGACAGAACATGATGCTGAAAGAGTAGTCTATAATGACTCAAACAGTTTCTGATGAGAATGAATGGAAGGACAGATTTGAAGACCAATTAAGACAGAGGGAGCTATCAGGAGTTCAGTTTTACATGTTAATTTTGAGATGCCTATTAGAAATCTAATTGGAGGCTTGGTGCCTGTAGCTCAGTGGTTAAGGCACTGGCCATATGTACCAGAGCTGGTGGGTTTGAACCTGGCCTGGGCCTGCTAAACAACAATGAGAACAATGACAACAACAACAAAAAATAGCTGGGTGTTGTGGTGGGCACCTGTAGTCCCAGATACTTGGGAGTCTGAGGCAAGAGAATCACTTAAGCTCAAGCGTTTGAGGTTGCTGTGAGCTGTGACACCAAGGCACTCAACCAAGCACAACATAGTGAGATTCTGTCTCAAAAAAAAAAAAAAAGAAAGATATAACTGGAGATATTAATATGACTAAGGAGTCTGAAGTTTAGGAGTCCAAGCTAGAGACATAAATTTGGGAGTTAGCTTATAGATATTGACAACTAGAAAGATGCTACAAAATGCAAAAGCACCTAAGGTCTTGAGTGTTTTGGCAGTGAGAGATCAAAAATAGGAGAAGGAACTTGCCAAAGAGGCTGAGAAGCAGCTGCCAATAAGGCAGAAGCAAAACCAGAAGGAGGTAATTCCTTGGGCTTAGGTGAAAAAAATATTTAAAGAAGGGAGGTAATATAGTCAGGTGTTGTGGGGAGTGCCTATAGTCCCAGCTACTTGGGAGGCTGAGGCAAGACAATCACTTTAAGCCCAATGTGAGCTCTGATGCCATGGCACTCTACCGAGGGCAATAAAGTGAGACTCTATCTCAAAACAAAACAAAACAAAAAAAAAAAGAAGGGAGGTAATCAAGTGAGTCAGAAGCTGAAGTCAAAAAAAAAAAGAAAAGCAACTCTGGATTTAACAATATGGAGCTCAACTGTGTCACAAGAGCCATGACAAAGAAAGCCTTCAGCAAAGTGAGTTCAAGAGAAATGAGTAGAGGGGAATTGGAAACAGCACAATGCTTTGGGAAAATTATCTTGTTAAAGAGAGGAGAGATATCATGAAGTAGCTGGAAGGAGATAGGGAAGGTTCTTTTTAAAAAGACTTGAGAAAGCACAAAGTCCTTTAATAGGTAAAAAAGATAACAGTAAACAAATGGTAAAATTGATTCTAGATGGGAACAGAGACAAGTTATTCAAAGTAAAAGGCAGGCAGGCAGAATATTTGCAAATAGGGGCTCGGCACCTGTGGCTTAAGTGACTAAGGCGCCAGCCACGTACACCTAATGTGGCAGGTTCGAATCCAACCTGGGCCCGCCAAACAACAATGACAGCTGCAACCAAAAATTAGCCAGGTGTTGTGGCGGGCACCTGTGGTCCCAGCTACTTGGGAGGCTGAGGCAGGAGACTCGCTTGAGCCCAGGAGTTGCAGGTAGCTGTGAGCTTTGATGCCATGGCACTCTACCCAGGGGGACAGCTTGAGGCTCCTATCTTTAAAAAAAAAAAAAAAAAAGAATATTTGCAAATAGGTCGGTCTGAAAGGCTGAGGTAGGTGGACCAGCCTGAGCAAGAGTGAAATGGAACACATGGTGGTGTTTACCCCGGCAAACAGCTTCCAGGGGAATTCAGTCACTGACCCTGCTAGCTTCCCTGTGAGTTTCCACAATGTTCCTAAGCACAGCTGTAACTATGGTCATACCTGTTTATGTTTTTGGAGTGGTTTCTTTCCATGCAATTTTTTATCTTCATGTTTCTTATATGTTAAAGGTACTCCATATTTAGCAGCAGGTTTTGTAATTTTCTGAGTAGTTACAACAGAAACCAAGCTTTGTCCTGAAGCTGGTCTTTTAGCTACATGAAAAAAAAAGAAACATTTTTTTCTAACAATTCTTTATAGTAAATCTTTATTCAAGATAGTATTTTTCATTTTCACAATCACTGACAGCATTTGAAACCTTTCATCAAATATCTTATTCATTTCTTAACATTTATTAATAATTATTTAACATGAAAGCTAATTTTTGAAAGATGCAAAAAGCCAAACTTCTCTAAGATGCTTAAGTTTCTCATATAAAAAAAGAACATTCCTAAAATTGACTGTGGGTGATGGTTGCACATTTCTGTGAATGTACTGAAAACAACATTGAATTATGGACTTTAAATGGGTAAATTGCATGGTATGTGAACAAGGCGGTTAAAAAATAAATTCCAAAAATTCACATTTTAGAAATTACTTTCAAAATCAGAAGATAAAATTTAAGAGCAACTGTTAAGCATTAATTACATCACCATAAGCCATTTTCTTTCTTCTTACAGTCTAAATCAGTGGTTCTCAATCTTCCTAATGCTGCAACCCTTTAATATAGTCCAAAGGGGTTGCGACCCACAGGTTGAGAACCACTGATCTAAATCATATCTATCCTTACAGACTCACTGAAGAACAAACACCTTAATCATCATAACTAAGGATTTCAGGAAATGAGCACCTTTGTACACTGCTAGTGGAAAGACAAATGAGTCAGACCTTCTAGAGGACAATCTTTATCAAGAACATTATTTATCAACTGATTTTAACGAAATAGAGATACAAAAGTTTATGCAGCCTGCAGCATTATTTCCTTAACCCTTACTGAAGCCTAGATGAAGCCATCTCAGAACAGAAAGTTCAAGAAAAATTAAAGTATGCCCACCAATGCAGGAATGGATTAACAAGCTATGGGGTATATGTATACACATACACACACACACACACACACACACACGCACAGGTCTATGGTATTCCATGGTGTGTGAGTGTGTGTGTGTATGTAGTCATTTAATGCAGTCATTAGAAGAGATGGAGACACTACATCTTTTGTATTAACCTGGATTGAACTGGAACACATTCTTCTTAGCAAAGTATCACAGGAATGAAGAAACAAGAATCCAACATACTCAATCCTAATATGAAGCCAGTAAATGAGCTAATATAAGGTAGGAATTAGGAGAATGAGGGAGCAGGGAGAGGGGAAGAGGGAGGAGGATGGAGGGCCACAATGTATGGCACACTTTTGGGGGGCAGGACATAATTTACCTAACAGGGAATTCACCTAAAAGATGCAATTACTGTAACCTAATTCTTTGTACCCTCAATGAATCCCAAACAATAAAAAAGAAAAAAAAGGTAATTAAGTTCACATCTCTGAAGGATATTAAAGGAAGTCAAGAGTAGTCTACATAAGCCTTTACCAAAATCTTTCAAACTCCCCCAAGGCCTGAGTAGCAGCTTTCTTTCCTCCTCTTCCAGCCTGCTCTCTAGCTCAGGATTTTGTCATAGGCTAAATCAATTTAAATCATTGTCTTCCAACAAATACTCTTCCCTCTTTAGGAGAGGAAAGGAGAAAAAAATTTTTTACCTGGTAGTTCACAATGAAATACCACCATTAAAAAGTCAGTTCTTCAAAGAAAATGTAATTATATTAGAAAATATTTATTATACTATAGCATGAATGACAAGAAATAAAGCTTTGTTTACAACATGATCCCCATCTTCAGTCATTATGTTAACACAGAAAAATAAATCAAAAGTATATATTTTTATATAAATATTGTTAATTGTTGAAGTTGGGACAATTTTAATTTTCTTTTAAAAGTTTTTATAAGGAGTGCATATTTTAAAAATAATTTAGGCTTGGCATCTGTGGCTCAAGTGGCTAAGGCGCCAGCCACATATACCTAAGGTGGTGGGGT